GAAACATTCTGATAATTTTTAAGAATAGAAAAATATGGTATTTAGGTTAAAAGAAACTGGTATTCCAAATATTACAATCCAAATATAAAATCCAAATATTACAATTATCCAAATATATACCAATGTTTTCAGAAAAGTAATGATTTATAAAACTCAGAGAATGCAATGTACAAGCCTATTAATTTTTCTCTAAAACCTTTTAAAATGAATACAGATATATAACTTGATGCATGAAAATTAATACCATATTGTAGTACACCTTATTAGAAATTAGGTGTCTTATAATATGTTTCTCTGACAATAGCAAATTTTGATGTATCGATGAATTTTTCATTTATTTTTCTTGCAGTATTTCTAGGATATTTCACTTTTTTAGAAATTTTTTAATGTTTTGATATAATTTAAAAATACTAACATAAATGAGAAGCTAGTAACGACATCAAATTACAAGATTTTCAGTCATTGACTTAAGAGAAGAAATAAGATTTCATTAAGACAGTGAGATCTGCAAACGCATGCAAAAACGAAAAACTGGATTCGGTGATCTGATCTATTACATCGGGTGACGAAAATGTTCACTTGAAATATTTACTTAAAAGCTGATAAAAAAATTATACAGTAGATATGAGTTATTACTTGATGTGTTTCTTGTTTACTATTGTTATTACTTGATATGTTTCTTGTTGTCTTGTAACGAAAGTGGTAACTGCCATATAAATCAAAATTAACAATCTTTAGTTTAAAACCTATTATAACCTATTATAACCTATTTAGTTTATAAACCTATTAAACCTATTATAACCTATTTCTGTGTCATAGATGTATTACAGTTTCACGCAAATAATACATCTTTTGGAAAAGAGTTTACAAATCATTGTGCAATTTGTCACAAAGTTACCGCTGTTTTCATTAACTTTTATCTTTATTCATAACTCTCATCATAGAAAATATTATTATAGCTATATTAGTATGGGAATTTCAAGTTTGCCTACAAGCTTAAAGAAAATATTACTTTTGTTCCAAAGATAGTTTAAAATCAGCACTTCATGACTATATATCTAATTCAAAATTGTATAAAAAACGAAACTATACAAAGTTCATTTATACGTTAGCATTTAGCACTTTGCAAATTAACTTCAAAATAAGTTTTGCAGTAAAGGAAATATATCTTACTCGCTAATATAGCCTGAATCATCAATAATTAGTCTAAAATTATGTATAAGAAAAACTTACAGTTTCTTTAGAAAGTTCATCATCTTGATTTTTTTTTAAAAGATCGAAATTATTAAAAGTTCTTATAACAAGAGCAATTGACTTGATTAATACTTTTAGAACACGGTGACGTCATAGATCTATCAGTAATAACGTAAAGCATCGGGAACAAAACGTATCTTATAGCTCAGATAGAATCAAAACTTACCTATGAGCTCAAAGTACATTTTAGTTCTTTAAAATTCTTTTTCTCATCAGAAAAAGTTATAAAATCAATTTAAATTGAGCTGAAATAAATATTGAAAGCAACAAATTTATCTTACTCATTAAATTTTAGTTGTTAACTTTATAAACTATACAAAAAGGCACGTAAAATGTGTGATTAATGACAAGCGTCTAGGAGCACGAAGATTCCATTATACAAACGGACAAAAGGAAAAATGAACTCAATATCGGGAAAAAGGCTCTGGTAGGAACATTTGCTTCTCAAAAAAAAATTTATAATAAATAAATAAAAAACTATCGCCGTTGTAAATTTTCATATGCGTTTTTAGTCTTACTATTATTTTTTGTTATTTATTTATTTGAGTTTTTATTTATTATATTTTTTTGAGTGAAGAAACAAGGAATAGTAAAAATTATGTAATTTTTTATCGGCTTTGTAATGTAGACAAAGGGAAGGAACGTTTTTAATTTTTAAAAATCAGATAGATCCAGAGAGAGGGATTGTTCTCTAATGTCAGAGGGGGTTCCAGAAATTCTATTCAAGCTTGAAAGGAAAACAAAAAATTTGACATCTTGCATTTTGGTTAAAATACAAGTGTCTTGAATGTCAGCTCTTTTAATATAGTAATAATATTAATTATTTTGATATTTTATTTCTTTATTTGTACAAATTAGAACTCGTTGAATAAATTTTGTCACATTTTCGATTCACACCTTCCATTCTACATAACACCAAAGAACATAAAATATTTAACAAGTAGCTTAAATATGTATGTGTTACCGGCAAAGTATGAAATCCGGCATTGTATAGAATACCTAAAACTAGCCGGCAAAGTATGAAATGATTTATATTTCACATATTGACCAGGCATTCTATAGAATGCCAAATGAGAAACCGGTAAAGTATTAAATACATCTCCGATTCGTCAAAATGTCATTCAAAAATGACAAATTCAAAACGTCATCCGATTTGGTATTAATTTATTCGTGGATATAAATTACATTTATTCGATATTTTAATACTTACTCACGAACTATCGCAAACGTGATTGGTATGCAGCGGCAATGGCCCCCATTAAATTAAACAAAAGAAAGCTAATCAATCATTGGACCATAATCACTGCATCTATTTACCCATTGCCCGGTAGTGGACTGATCGTAAAGACACGGTTTCCAGAAGAACACCGATGTCAGGCATCAATGGCAGCTGTCAGTAAGCGGTTGGGTGACCCCTTTCACCAGCCTACGTAGAGACCGAGGATACGAGGTATCGGTCTTCGTTAAACTGTTCTACCGTAAAGTGCTCGATTTCGCTAGCTGGTCGTCGGGCTAGCAAAGCAGGGAAGGCATCCCCTCTGAAGAGGATCAAAATTGCGTTGTCATATCTTCGGATCATTCTCAGGTATGTTTCTTAGACCGTCGCCAATAGTCCATTGTGCAGATCTAATGCAACGTAAATAAAGTACCTACCTATTTGACTAGTACACGTGCGAATGATTTAGTAATCGCTTGTGTATGAGATTTGATTACATATCCGAGTCAGATGCAAAGAGTATGTCTCTGGCAGTTTCAGAACCCGAAAACTCTTCGAGTGGTTGGAGTCGAGCTGCGGGGGACTGAGTCATTACTAATACCATCTGCTCTCCAATTCTATGTGCACTCGAGCCATTAAACGATTGAGTAAATTAATATATCGAGTAGATTAATGAAACATAAAGAAGGATAATGAATCAGTAAATGAGAAAATAATGTATTGGTTTACTTATCAAGATGATTGAGCAAATCAGTGTATTAGTAAATTATCTAGTAAGTTATGGATTAAGTTAGGAAAGGAGATTAGTAAATAGATGAATCAGCGAATGACGGATTTCTACAAGAAATTAGTCAACGAATGAATCACAACATGAAATTAAATTTTTGAAAAAAAAAATATATATGAAAAATATTCTTTATTAGCGATCGCAAAGCTTGAATACGCCATTTGGGGAAGAAGACCGATTCCATGGCTTGATCCTAACCTCTCCTTCTTTTCTCAGTTTGAACTTCTTAAGTTTTGCATTGCTTGGTTTTTTGTCCCGCAGGGGACTGATCTTTAAGACACGGTTCCCAGCATATCACCGAAATCAAGCATCACTGGCTGCGGTCAGTGTGCTGGTGGGTGACCACTTGGATCAGTCTGCGTAGGGACCGAGGGTGTGCGGTATGGGTCCTCGTTAAACTGTTCTACCGTAAAGTGCTCGACTTCACGTGTAGGTTGTCGGGCTACCCAAGCGGGGGTTGCGGATTAAAATTGTGATGGCATGTCTTCGGATCATCCTCAGGGATGTTTCCCAGACCGTCGCCAATAGCCCATTGTGTAGCTCGAGTGCGACGTAAATTAACTACAACAGTAACTACAACCTTCTTTTCTCAGTTATAAAGGAATGTGCTACGATATGTTCCCCTTTCTTAATACTTTCCTTATCTAATTGTCACAAATATTTTTTAAAATTTCCAAGATTTCCAAGTTCAATGTAGTTTTCAGTTCCATATAGTTTCCTAACTTAAAAGTTTTTAATCTATTTGAAGATCAAGACAGAAACTAACGTACTTCTATCTTCTGAGACTCTCCAAGCGCTAATGGTGAAAGCACGTGAAGTGTTGCCATAGGTAAGGAGTTCTGCTTTACGCCACCTGAAGCCCATTTCGATAGCCTATAGAAACGCAATCAAGTAAGCATTGATATGTATGATTTTATTTCAAAATGTTATTCTCATCTTGATAGTTGTAAATTTTAGAAATTTAGATTTGTAATTAGGAAATTTGCATATCAATGTTATTTCAAAGTGCTTCTTGCTTGGCATGAAATCTTTATCAAATTCCCATTAAATTAAATATTGTCACATTAATCAAGTAAGCATTTCTTGGAGAAAAAAAAAAGAGTTACAATCCTTTTTTCAACTTACTTTTTATATTTACTCAGTACTTTCGTCCGTCTTTGGGAGAATGTTATCATCTCGAACATTTTCTCAGCTTTTACCGGCATCCAAACACTTTTTGAGTTTTTCGATCTTGTTTACCTTGTCAGGTTCTGGCAATTCTTTTTATTTTTTCCTCACTTTGATATTAATTTACCACACCTATTTGGCCTCTTTTTTCTCACTCCATTTTTGGCGAAATTTCTAATTATATGCATTAAGAGAGGTCATTATGGAATAAATGATGTAAAATAAAAAAATAACTGACATTTTGTCGCGTTTTCTCTCAAACTGACGTATAAAATTTGTAAGAAAAAAATATATTAATTATGATAATATCAGCCTGCCATTTTATTGTGAAATTCTGTGATAATTTATTTAAGTAACATCGAATTCAAAGTTTTTTTTCTCCATAATTTCCATTTTCTTCATATGAAAACTACTTTAAGAGAATTTAAGATAAATTTGTGGTGACGACCTTTATGGACCGAGGACTGACCTTTATGGAGAGAACTGTGCTCAAAATTGAAACTGAAGTCTTATAAGTTCGGATAAAAAAGACAAACAAATTATAAATAACAGCCAATAATTCTAACAAATGTCTCATTAAAGGCCTTTATTATAGTATAAATATTTCTCTTTAAGTGTTAGCTCATCAGTGGTTTCTCTGATATTTGATTCTAATGACTGAACTTTAATAGAACCTTTCTGTGGAAAAATCGCGCAACAAAATGGAGTGGCAAAAGTTAGCAATAAGCCACATATAGTAATCTGCAAGGGAGTATTTATTCTAGGATATTTCCGAAGGATGCCTTTTTGATCAAGAAAATTCATGATTATAGGTGGAATTAGCATTGTAGGCACAGCCATTCCAACTCTTGATATCACAACCTGAGAAATTGCAAACTTTGCTGCAGTTTGTGAATTTCCAATTCGAATTCCATTTTCATCAACAACGGGAATTCCTTCTTGTAATTCTTTAATACGCATCATAGGAACATTAATACAGTTGGCAGCAGCTACTGCACAAAATGGAACGAACCGTCTAATTAGTGGAGGAGAACTTTTTACAAGATTGTTTAGACTCAGTGCAGTGGCAAGTGCGCCAAAAGTTGCCAAAATGTATGATGTTCCTAATTGATTCACAGTTAACGGAGAATCATCACTGCGATTTGTGTAGTTAACAACTGCGTTGAAAGATTGGTTAAACCACTGCCAGAACACAACTTGAGGTGTTGTTTTGTAGAAAGTGAGCATGCAACCAGTGATGAACATGTTCATTGGAACTTGTGCCGACATTCGACCAATTAAAATCATCTTTTCGCAGGTTTCGGGATGGAATGCTGAATCATACAAATGCTTGGCTCGCCATATTTCCTCCTCTGAAAGGTCAAGATATTCGCCATTTCTTTGTCTCAGCACTATTTCCTTTGCTTTTTCTAGTGATGAGCTAGTACGCAGCAAATTCATAGGATTGGTGGTGGTAAAGTAATATTTTAATCTACCTAAATATGTGCTTTGATCCCATCGAGGCTTATCAATGTTAATAAGAGTCATATTTACAAATGAATAAATAACAGAACAGGGCAATTTTTTTTATTGATTTCGTAAGACCATTCTTGTTGCCATTTACTCATACAAACTTTGTATTTACATTTCTAAGGCAGATTAATAATCGAATCCACAATTCTTTTCATAAATATTTTCATAAATATTTCGTTCATTCTTTTCATAGCTCAGAAATTAAACTTTTGAATTTAATTTGAAACTGAAAAAATAAAACTTAAAACAGTCGGCTCTGACTTGGTTTGTTGGCATATTCCTACATAAATACAACATTTAAAAATTTAATTTTTTTTTTTTTTTTAGAAATAAGTGATTTGATTTGCCCTTCCATTAGAGTTAGGAATAAAACAAGCATTCCTATTGGATGATTGGTTAAGTTTGATAAGTAATAGTTCGTAAATTTAAGATCTTTTAAAATGATGCAAAACTATAGATAATTTCGTACATGCATAGAGAGATATGTATTGCATTCTAGTGTACATAACATTGATACCATATTTCCCCTATTTTGAGAGTCTGTATTCTAAATAAATTGAAAAAAATCAGAATTGAATCTTTGTTTTATCCGAACGAACTTGAACAATAAACATCTTACTAAGTAAACAGGATGTACTTTATTGACCACTTTTATTACTTACTAGGAGGCTTCGCCCCCTGCTCGCTGGCGCTCGCCAACCCCCGGAACTGCTTTCGCAGTTCATTTCGGATTGCTTCGCAATCCGATGCTCGCTNGTGTCAGAACAGATTTAGGTGACTTCATAACGAATGAAATTGAAGATAAGATTCCAAAATTTAGAAAATGCTGAAGAAACAATTTTAAAAGATACTAAATTTTTGCTTTCTTTTTTCACAATTACACTGCTTCATTTATTTATTATTAATATCTTAAACTATTTTTGCATACATGTTTGGTTAAAAAAGTTATATCTGTTTTTTCTCTCTTTAAAACCTAACCCTTTTTTTATGCATCTATTATAATATAGATTAGCCATATGATGCTCACTACGTGCTCTTGCGCGCCGAAGCCTATCAAGTAAAAATGAAAACTGTTGCCAACGCGAGAAAAGAAATATCATCGGTTTTATTGATACATACGTATTAGCGTTTTATATAATATAGATTTTTAGAATTCTTGGAAAAAATGAAGTAAAATAACTATGCTTATTAAGAGTCCCAAAAACGCTATATAATCTATAGAATCACTATCGAAGAAGAAGAGAAAAACAGTAAAATCAGTTTGAATGCCTGGCTAAAATTGGAGGTGTTTCTGATAACCACCCTTCAACCCTTATCTATATTATACTTATTTTACTATATTTTCGGCAAGAATTCTAAATATATACGTTATATATACAATGCTATCTAATGATTAAAATATACAAATTTTATGATTAAAATATAAAATTTTTTAATCGTCTTCCTCAATACTATTCGTCATGTATCAACAACGATTTTTTATTTGCGTAGAAATAAATTTATAACATTTACCTTGTACATTTGTTTTACATCTTTCGACAAAGTTTTTAAAAAGTAACCCTTTTCTTACGGTTGATGCAATATGGTGTACAATGTTGCACCAGCTGTAAGCAAAAAGTCAAGGAATTACAATACACCCTGTTTATCATAGTGGTGTTTCTTTTCAAAGCACTGTTAGTTCATAGACTATCTATCCTTATAACAATGGGCATAGAACCCTTTATTATTCACAGGAAACAATGATAAATGTAGAATAATGCATGATAACAATGTAACACATAGAAAAATCAATTTTGTTTACCGTACGTACATAAAACGAGTAAACTGTTAACCGAATATTTAACTAGCTATATAGATTTAAATCACAATAACGCTTTAGCATAGCGAATGGGCCATACTATCTCAAATCGGGTCCCAAGTTTCTCCGAATATTTTTTAAGAGATCATTATGCCAACTCGTAAGTCGCGTCACTGATTCGTAACTACGTATGGCATCATTGAAGGCATCTACGTCGTCTTTTTTAACAGCTTCGGCCATTTTAATTAACCAAACACATTCACGACTTTCATCAAATGCGGGACTTGTCTCCCTCATTTCGGCTATCTTCCCCAAAAGGCCATCGCCATCTTGCGGATTGGCAACCAAATAGCAGAGTCCAGCTTTGGCAAAATGTTCGCAAGCTGTGTACTTCAGAAGTTTGTTGTTGAGTGCTTCGGTACCAAGCTGAACGAATATTTCTTCCGCTCTCTGGTACTGGCCAAGGCTGGCGCCGTGGTTGGCTACATTTGTGAGACATTTTGTGACAGATGATGTCAGCTCCTACAAAGAAATTACCAAAGAATTATGAGCAGAAAATATCATGTGAATATTATAATAAGTTTCAAAGTTCCAGCATTCGTTCAGGCATAGAATATGGATAGATTGATATAACGAAGTACTTACAAAAGATATAAAAATTTAAAGACAAAATATTTTTTAAAAAAAGTATTAGGTTAGAAAAATGTAAGTTTTCTATTAACTGAGTATCCTAAAATTGACCAACGCTTTGAAAAATCCTTTAAAGAAAAAGCATAAAGGGATTAAAATGTAGAGTTGAAAAACATAAAGAAAAATTATTAAGTGATAAAAATGTAATGTAGAGAATGTAGCTTTCGATGTCGACTGTAGCAGGCGCTGTCGACTGGAAAAACTACAAAAAAAATGTGCGGAATTTAAACTTATGTTAAAATTAAACTCTATAAAGCAAGAACTATCAGCCAATAAATATGTGGAATTTAAACCTATGTTAAAAGTAAACTTTTTATAGCAAGAACTTTCAGCCAATAAATATGCGGAATTTAAACCTATGTTAAAAGTAAACTCTCTACAGCAAGAACTATCAGCTATCCATGACATTTGGTCATTTATAGTAGACTTTACAAATACGATGTATGACCACTGTTGATAAACGAGGTTGAATTTGTTTTCCTTAATTTTCCTAGAGATGTACATATAAATAGGGTTAATTTTCAAGTAGCATGCGTAATTTTGTAAAAGTGGAAATGTACGCGATTCTTTCTGGTGAACTTGGGCCAACATCACCTAGAGGAAAGAAAGCTTTCGCATGGGTTACCATTAATGAGATATCCGATATTTTAGCAGTCCGAAAGTTGAGACATCTTTCTTTTTTTCCCCACTGCGTAGTTTATCTTCATTTCCTTCTGATTACTAAAGCGATCTAAGTGAAGGCTTTCTGTTCAATGAGGTGAGGCTATGGTCTTGTTAATACAAGCAATAAGTTTAAGAACCAAATCTCGATAGCAAAAAGAAATGTTTGAGGTTAGGAGAAAAATATACAGAAATTTTTAAATTATAGGCACGGTATGGGAGGAAACACTCACTCAAGAGCTAGAGTTCTTACTTGCAATAAGAAATGTTTTTGAACATCGTAAACAATTCAGAGATTTAAGAGTTGCAATATTGTACTTCATGGGCAAGGGGATTGTTCCCATGATTTTTCAGATAATCTTGCACGTGGTTAAAATTGTGATTGTTCTAAAACTTCTTAGTGCATGTCGAACACAGGAATAGTTGAGAGAGTGTTTCAACTATGACGTGATTGTAAAATCTTACAACTTTACCTCCATCTATAATAATAACCTGTAAATTTTGTGTCGCTTTTGCCCTCGTTTTTTTTTTTTTTTTTTTTTTTAAATAATGGTCTGTACAAACTTAGTCCTGTTTGTGGTGTCCCTCGTATTGCAGAAAACAAAGAGAGTTTCTACTTCTTCCAAAATCACCACGACTACCAAAAATATAATTTTTGAGGCCCATGCTTCTTTTGAAAAATATCAGTACTGGTAGGTACTCAGCTTAATATTACAAGTTATTTTTGTACGATTAAATAGGATCAGAACTTTCTGTAATAGAAAATACTGATCTAATAGTTTGATTAGGGTTTTAAAAACAGTTTTTGAGAAAGCTACTTTAAGATCAAAAATAGTAGATAAACCTAGGTTTAAGCAGATACAACGGGAATGAATAATCCTCGTTCGTTAAGACCAAAAGACACGTTATTTTAAGGTACCTTGATAAAGAAATATATTTTTAGGTAGCACATAAATATTCATTGATGGTATATATAAGATGCGTTTTGTACTATATTAGATTCGAATACACAGATATACTTCTTTCTATGAGTAAGGGCTATAACTTGATATTTCCTACAATGATGTTTTTTACGGTTAAGAGTTATTGTTCGTATTTCTTACACTGATATCTTTTTTTATTTAATAGCCATTGCTGGTATTTACCACACTCTTTTTTTTGTTAAAAGTTTACTTTTTAATATTACACACACTGTTTTTTATGGTTAAAGGCCCTTACCTGGATAATTTTGTATATTGTAATCCTTAGGTTCCTGTTTTAATCGACTAGGTTTGGTTAGATCCAGTTTTAACCGGTTAAAGATAGAATTATTGGATATTCTTTGGACTATTGTCAAATAACATTGGTAATTAATTGGTCAAAACAAGGTTTTTCTTTCATTTTTACTTTATACTTAGACTAAAGATATTGCTCATACTTATCACGCACTCGATGAAATTTGGATGATTATATAAAATACCGCTTCACTACTAATAGAATCGACATTGTATTTTTTTAACATAGAAGAAGTACTCATTATAAAATGAGAAGCATGAAGATAATAAGAATTTACTTACTTCAGCTTGGAACATATCGGCTGCTTTCTGATATTCATCGACTGCTTTCTTCAGGTTCCCCTGCTCTTCATGAAGTTCTGCCAATGTCAAGTGCTGTTTGGCAGCTGTCTTTCCTCTTCCCACACTATCGTACAGTTCACTAGCTTTTGTCAGACATTCCTCACACTCGTTTGGGCTTGTCTGAAATCAGAAGAGTAAACTACTGTTTAAAATGGACACATTGCACTAAGTAATCACCCATTATGGAGTGTATACTAAGTAATCACTCCAAATTTCAAAATTAGTTACAAAGCTCGTCAGCAGTTGATTCTAATGATTAAAAAAATCTAGTAAAAATGTATTATTAGATTTAGTAATCACCATTATAGAGTGCACAACGTAATCACTTTAAATTTAAAAATTAGTTACAAAGTTCGTCAGCAGATGATTCTAATGATTGAGAATATCTAGTAAAAATATCTTCTGCCACATGTCAGATCAATCTGTACTTTGTTGCAAGTTAAGAAAAATCCATTTTCCCTATGGAGAGAGCCATAATTACTAATCCGTATTTACTATTCCGTAATCCGTATAATTACTAATCCGTATTAAAAATTACTAATCCGTATTTGATTTGTTAAGGACATGTTAACATAAGACGCGCTATTTTTAGCGGTACAATCAAATCGAATGCTCTTACAAAGTCATTATGGTTGTTTCTTTTTTTCCAAGAACGAATGTTCTCCTTCTACATCGAAATATATCGCCAAGTCTAAGATTCCAGTAAGACACTACGAAACTATAACCTTTTTCTTTTGTTTTTTTCTTTTCTTTTTTAAATAATAATAACTCTATGATATATATCGTAAAAGATAGTTCGAATAAAATTTCTGACTGACGAGTTTTTGAAAGCTTTAATATTGTTTTGGAAGCATATTTGTATAATTTGAAAACGAAATAAAACTTAACTAGATGCATTCGCGGATGCTTACTTAAATTCTATATCGCAATGGTCTTTTCTTAATTTGCAACGGAGTATAGAAGTAATATTTTCCCATGAGTCCTTTAATTTTATTTCCGTTTGGATTCGGACTATTCCGCTAGTGGTTGTTACTTTGAATGAATAATTTTTTTTTTAGTTTTTCTTGGTTAGACATATAGCAGAGCATATTTTTTCCTTGCTAGAAACGCCACCTGTTGACAAACTTTGTAAGCACTTTCAAAACTTTGTGTGAATAAATTGAGAAGCAGCTTAAGCAAAATGCAGCTAACCGTTCATTTCTCAATTATGGATAATTTCTGCATAATTTATTTTTTTAAATTATCGGCTACTTTTGAGTCTGACGAACACGCGAAATTTGAGCTACACATATTTACGATTTTTACAATTGTCAGCAAAAAATCTTGGTAAGTTCCATCATCCACAAGCTTCGCACTAATAATTAATAAAAAATGGTACCTTTTTGTAACATTTGGCAGCTTCGATGTAATGCCTCCCCGCTTCCGTTTGGCGTTCATTTTTCTGTTGAATGGATGCAGCTTCAGCAAAAGCGTTGCCAGCTTTGTGCCATTCCTTGGCCATCTTGAAAGCATTAGCGGCTTTCACGTATAAATCACATGCTTCCTCTTCCTTAGCTGTAGTTCGTCCTCCACCACAGCATGCACCTCCACTACTGTTGAGTTTGGCTTCGGCTTCCGCCATCAAATTTTCAGCTTTGGTCATCTGCTGCTCATGCATTGCCATTTTCTTTCTATAATCTACAGTAAACAGGTGAGGGAAATAAATTGACGTGATTAGTATAATGTAGTTACAAGCAACACTTTGCACCAAAGACCATATTTTCTTTATATCAAATTTTTCCTCAATGTTATTTCTAAATAGGTATTTCACTTTCTTCTAAAAAATGTTTTACATCATAAAAGGAAAGTTTACAGAAACCTTATATTGTCTACACGAAAATCGTAGTGATTATTTTTAAAAATGCGTTCCTGAACAAATAAAAAAGGCCACTTATAATTATAACCGTTCATCAGTATTTTTTCCAAATAGGTAAAAAGTTTCCAGAAATGTGGTAACAAGCAACACTTTTCACCAAAGACGATACTTTTTTTTATATCAAATTGTTCCTCAAAGTTATTTCTAGATAGGTATTTCACATTTTTAAAAAAAATGTTTTACATCATAAAAGGAAAGTGTACAGAAACCTTATATTGTCTACACGAAAATCGTAGTGATTATTTTTAAAAATGCTTTTCTGAACAATTAAAAAATGCTGCTTATAGTTATAACCGTTCATCAGTATTTTTTCCAAATAGGTTTGAAGTTTCCAGAAATGCACAAAGCGTAAGGGTAAATGTTTAGGTTTGAATATTTATGCTTACCTCAGTTCTAATCGAAGAAAGAGGTTCAACAGGTTCTTTTACGTAACAAACTGCTCTTTGTCTGTGTTTGAAAAAGGGAAAACCTCTTCGCACGCTGCTAAAACAGTTTCTGTATATATTTATAGTTTTGCTTTAAGTTTGAAAAACATTTATCTACATCACAAAAGGAAAATTTGACTAATTTTCCATTCCACGTAAAAAAAACACAATACACTGAAAATTTGTATTGCTTTTATGGAAACTATGGTGTTTTTGAATAAAAATCCTTTTCTTGGATTTAAAAATGTGGCTTATCATTATATACCTTTATTATTTTAAGTAAAGAGTTTAGGGCAATATACCTAAACAAGTTTTTGGAATTCCTACTAAACACTGTTATGCACCGATATGTATTATTGTCTACATGAAAATCATGATATTTTTTAAAATTTTTTTTATCCATATACTGTCCTGAATAATTTGGAAATGAGGTTTATACTGTCTCAATTCCTTCAATTATATAATTGACGAAACGCTTTCACATAACAAAAACCAATCCGACCCAAACATTATGGTAGGTAGGTGCTTTTTTTATGTCACACTAGAGCTGCACAATGGGCTATTGGCGACGGTCTGGGAAACATCCTTGAGGATGATCCAAAAACATGCCATCACAAGTTTGATCCTCTGCAGGAGGGATGACTCCCCTGCTTTGATAGCCCGTCGACCAGCGCACAAAGTCGAGAACTTTACTGAACAGTTTAACGAGGACTGATACCGCGCACCCTCAATCCCTACGCAGGCTGATCAAAGTGATCACCCATCAGCTTACTGACCACAGCCAGTGATGCTTAACTTCGGTGTTCTGCTGGAAACGGAGTCTTTACGATCAGTCTACTGCGTGACCAAAGCATTAGGGTTTACGTTTTAACATTGTCTTTTAAATAGTCAAAATGGAGTATTCTTTGCTTGATGGTGCTAGTGCTCAAGTATATTTCATTAAAGTGACAGTTTCACATATGTTTCCCTATAGGTTTTACCTTGATTATGGTTCAATGCTATATTCGATACATTCAATTCATACATTACATTCAATCAATATACAGTCCGTAGCTAAATTATTACGACGCACTATGAGATTCTATGTAAAATCTTAGTTATCTGGTGATACTGTAAAGTGTTATTGTTTTTATGCGACTGAAACTGGTTTACACTTGTTTACGTACGCGTATTAATTGATTACGTTACATTGTAATGCAATACGTTAAAAATTAACACAAATAGGAAGTATATAAAAAAACTCATGAATAAAAACCCATTACATGTATGTTTAAGTATAAAAGTATTGCATATAAACTCCCTCAAAGCACGTAATTATTTAAACACTACAGTCCATTCAATAATTTGGTCTAATTATTACAATATACTAATGTTATACCTGATATAATGAATGTTCACTATTTATATAATATATCATCCAATCGTCGAATTTATATTATATACCGTCTAATTTAACCAATCAATACACGAACGTAAACAAGTGCAAACCAGTTTCAGTCACGTAAAAACAATTAAGCTGTATAGTATCACCGAATGCTGTATAGTATCACATGTATGAGCTGTATAGTATCACATTAAGTTGGCCGAAGACTGTACATTTAATCGAATAGAAACGAATGAGTAAATTTGGTAACCCTTGAATATTTATAAAAGAAAATATTCTCTTACTCTAGTTGGTTTCTTACTCAAACAAATTAATCTGAATTTATATTTTATTTGTTTATTCTATGAAGTTCATCTTAAAGACGAGTTATCACTTTAATACAATGGATCACAATTTTACAACTCGAATTCTTCTATTTCTCGATTATTGATAACTGATAAACCACGCTATTATTAGCTTTCTCAGCAAATGTTCGACAGTTATCTCTTTAACTAACCTTTATCCTCTTTACCCTATAATTTTCTTATCAAGATTTGATTTTTATAAAAAGACAAGATAAGTTATTGTTTACTATTCCTTTCATCTTTCGAATAAAACTGTCAACATGAATTTTAAAACTAAACTACTTTTCCCAATTTTTGTTTTGTGTTCATATTTATCAACAGCATTCGTGTCAGCTGTTTCGAATACTCAACCGGAACAAATCCATTTATCGTATGGAAAATCTCCGAATGAAATGATTGTTACGTGGGTTACTTTTAATCCTACCAACACATCTACTGTAGAGTATGGAACAGTTCAAAAATCTCTAAATAAGGTCAACTTCGGTACTGCTACTAAATTTGTTGATGGTGGATCAAGCGCTAGGGTACTGTACATCCATAGAGTACTACTTGAGGATTTAGTGCCTGGAACTGACTATGTGTACCACTGTGGCAGTATAGATGGGTGGAGTGCTGTTTATTGGTTCACAGCAATGAAAGAAGGTTCTGATTGGAGTCCGAGGCTCGTAGTATATGGAGATTTGGGCAACTACAACGCTCAATCGCTGCCTCGCATACAAGAAGATGTACAGAAAGGGATGTACGAAGCAGTGTTGCACGTGGGAGACATGGCGTACGATTTGCACACAGATGATGCTCTTATAGGTGATGAATTTATGAGACAAATAGAAACGATCGCTGCTTATCTACCCTATCAAGTGTGTGCTGGCAATCACGAACAGGCTTATAACTTTTCTAATTACGTGAATCGCTTCAGCATGATGAATCAAATGGGTGAGATAAACAATCATTATTATAGTTTCAATCTTGGACCAGCCCACATAATCGCTTTTTCAACTGAGTTTTATTTCTGGTTGAATTATGGTTGGGTTCAGATCGTCCATCAGTACAACTGGCTCGAAAACGATCTTAAAAAAGCCAATTCACCAGAAAATCGATCTCAAAGACCATGGATCATCACTGTGGGTCACAGACCTATGTATTGCAGCACGAAGGAGCCCCCATCAACAACAGATGATTGCAAGAAACGGGAAGGTGTTATTCGCAAGGGATTGCCTATCTCCCATTCATATGGTTTGGAAGATCTATTTTATAAATATGGTGTGGATTTGGAATTCTGGGCCCATGAGCACCATTACGAAAGGACGTGGCCATTGTATGACTTCAAAGTGTATAATGGAAGTTACGATTCCCCATATACCAATCCCAAAGCGCCAATCCATATTACGACTGGTTCTGCTGGTTGTCAAGAAGATTTGGATCCGTTTATGGATGAACCAGCGGAATGGAGTGCCGCAAGGTTTCCCGATTATGGCTATACCAGATTGCAAATAATCAACAATACCCATTTATATTTGGAACAAATTTCTGACGACCAAAATGGAGCTGTTCTCGATACAATGTTACTTATAAAGGATAAACACGGAGCAGAAGCATGGCTATAGTTAATTTTTTTTCATGCTGCGTAAATAGTAAATAATCTACTCTTAAAAGTGTTCATTAAACATTCGTTAATTTGAAATCATGGTGGTTTTTAAGATTCATATATGATTGACATTTTTAAATCGAAATTTTTTACAGGAAAAACATTTGAAATAATTGTCTATTATAATTTCACTTCTAACTTAATGATTTTTAACTATTTTGACTTATTCATTTGCTTTAAATTTCCTGAGAATAGGAATTATCGGAAGTCGTAATCTTCAGCAGAAGGCATTGGCCCACATTGGGCTGTCTGGTCAACTATGATGAGGTGTGTAAAGTTTAACATGTTGAATGAAATCAAGGTAGTATATATTTTCAAGAAGCTGATTCACAAAATTAATTATTTGAGACATTTGTTGGCCTAAAATTAAAATCGAGATCCGATATTACTGCTAACGATATTTAGTCTTTCATCTTTCCTTTTGTTTATTATAAAAGAAATGCACAAGATTTGTAGAGTATTCGTTAATAATGTATAGTATTTGTTTTAATGTTTTGTCCGAAAACCGATCATCTCCAAGGTGAAATTATTTTTTTAAATTATAATACTAAGTGATGTTATGACACAATTGCAATAGAATATTTTGTAACGGACCATATTTTAGTATTAAAAAGTTCCATCTAACAAGTTGTACTTAACTATTCAGTGATTTTTTTTTACTCTCCTGTAAAATTAGTTTTTTTATAAGACCGGTTTTCAAATTTCAAACTCATTGATTCAATTGAAGATAAAGTTGATTTTTTAAAAAAAATTTCTTTTTAGTTTCTCAGTATTTTCGCCTAACAACTGAGTCGGAACAATATGTCGAATACTCTATAACTCTAGAATCGTTTTGAGAGGGCCTTGACATTTGGACATAGACTACAAAGAGCGACTTTAGATCCCCTAAGAATAGCTTAAATATTCAATAAGTCTGTTCGAGCCGTGATGGCTTAGGGGTTAGCACAATTCACGTGATTGCTTAGCACAACCCACTCCAATCTTTATAACTTTTCTATAATTTCATGACTAATATAAATTAAATAAAATTTGACTGAGCCGTGATGTGTCAGAGGATAGAGCGTTAACCTTCCAACGAGGTGAACCGGGTTCGAATTCAGGGGACGGCTGGTTGATATGAATCCCGCACCCGGTTTGCACCGACCTCAATGCTGACGTATAATATCCTCAGTGGTAGACAGATCATGGATGAGAGTCCCCCTGCCGTCAGGCTAACCGTGGGAAGTTTTCGTTGTCTTCCCTATGTAACGCAAATGGGGGGTAGTTCCATCAAAAAGTTCTCCACGAAGGCAAATTTCTCCCAATACTAGATCCAGGAGTTCCCTTGTCTTCTGGATTGGGTTCAAAATTACAAGGCTTCGGAGTCTAATATCAGTAGTTGTAAACCCAAAATTAGGTCGGTTGTTCAACGACGGTTGTAATAAAGTAGTCTGTCCGGGTGAGTTGTCTGAAAAATGATTTTTTTTTTCGTATTAGCCATTGCTATAAATAAACCTGCAGACGATTCTGTTTAAGATTTTATTGAGCGTTCTGTAATGTTTGTTTATTTAAAAGATCAGTGATCAACGTGGATGGCATATCCATGTGGATTGGTGCTACGTCTCTGAATTAGTAGTCCAAAATTTATGTGGAGCCCTGTGTTTATGTTGTTTAAAGTTGGGATTTAAAAACTTGTTTATCTGATGAACTAAATAATTAAAAATAAATGATAATTGCATTTAAATAAAAGTTATTAAAAAGAGAAATTAATAGAGAAAATGTATTAATTCATTTAGAGGAAACCAAAAAAATAAAAAGCTATAAACTGATGCTTAATTTTGATAATTTATGCAACCGGTATAATGGAAATTGGAACTTTTTAGTGCTGGAGAAATCTGCGCAATTGTGGTAAATTTTGATTATTAACATTATAATTAATGCATATTCTTCTTATCATTATTAATACATAATCTTTTTATTATTATTACATAACATTATTAACAGATTTTGAAATTAACAAGTTGGCCTCGTGTAACTGTATCATGCCAAATGATATCGATAAAAGTTAGTATTAATTTTGATGGGACTTTAAAAAAGTATCACTTTAATAACGTAAAGTCACCGGAAGGGCAATAAATAAAATGGAAATATTAACTAGTCAGTATATGTCTTTCAGCTTTGAGAACGATTTCGTAGGGTTGATCAGAGCTGTGAATTGTCTGTAGTTTAAATGTCCGACCACGAATTTTTCTGAGAGATCAACTCCGAATTGCATTTAATTAAACTTTTCCATCGAATCCCAGAAAAGAATTATTTTTCTTATGATTTTTATTAAAACTATATTAATATGTTAACTGATAAATTAATTCTAATACAATTCTCTCTCTAATCTTTATCTAATTTGTTTATAGTTGACAAGCATATTTATGTAAGCTATTCTCAAGTTATACGCGATACAAATACAGCTGATCTCGTATGGTGTGTTATTATCAATACCAAGATGCGAAAATACTCGAAAAAAAGTAAACAAATACTTAGCGAATCCTAAGAGGAAAAAGTATAAAATAGAATAATTTCAACAAAAATAAATAAATAAATGAAAAAAATATATCGAAAAAAAACTAAGAATTTTTCAAAGGTTTTACCCCCCCCCCCCCCAAAAAAAAAAAAAAATTTAAGAAAATACTGGAGTGTAACACTTATAAGAATCAAGTTGATTTAATTTCAGTAAATTTTCCAGAAATTTTAAATAAAGTTTAACTTAAAATGTATTAAAAGAAATTCTCATAAACATTTTGAAGAAATCATATGAAAAATCAGTGGTTTTCAAACGATAAATTTTTTTTTAAAATTTCAATTTTGTCAAAACCTGGCGTATAGTGTTCTTTCAAATTCTTTGAATCAAACGAAAAAGCGAAATTTTTAAATATTTTTTTTAAGCATTTGCTCTGATATTTACGTAAAAAATAACTATTAAGTATTGTATAAATCATGCAAATTAATAAAAATTTTACGAACCTTTATCAATAAACTATAGCTTGAAATACAGATCAAAACACAACATTAGTGTTTATTCATTTTCAAAACAATGAGGAAAGACATGGGTGAAACGCATTGCAGACTATGTTTAATATCGATCGCCCATCACGCTGTTGCCATTCCGAAAAACTAACTTAAAACGAAGAAAATCTCAAGCTAACTTCTGGATTGAAACAGAAAGGAGACTATTCTACTGTAGTTTGTTCTAAAATTAAATAAAGTGGGTATTAGTACAGATTACTATTACGTTCAGTAACTAAGTTACTAATTACTACAGGAATTACGTTTATATGCAATTTGACATGTGATCTTGTAACAATTTCACAAGATATTTCTGGAGAAAAAAAACTTTGCTATTTGTGAATTAATTTCAAGTAGCATGTTTATGAAGTTAAATTTATAGTGTTCATATGAAATTAATGTTTTTTTAATAGAATTTAATGCAAGTTTTAATGCAAAAGGTTAATTTGATGATGCAATTTTAGTGCATGAAAAGCAACATTTAAAACTTTCATTGATGTATACATTAACCATTTTCCAGTTAGAAAAATTTGATTCAGATTTCTATACGATAGTTTTTATCACTGGTGCTGAACATTTAGAAGTACAGATTTACGTAATGGAATACCTGCCAAGTGACGTAGTGTGTGTATCTCGATTCTAATTGGTTGTTGAAACGTGACATTTGTTAACTTTAGCAACTGTTCTTTCCAGTTTATTACGATTCGCGCGTTCGAATCGCGTATCTAAATACGCGCTTTTTAGCTTGCTTTATTTCTACCTAATTATCTTAAATCCAAGTTATTTTTCGATTTTTTCCTTCGCAGTTCTGTATTGCTAACCATTGTATTTTCACTTTGTTTTGAAAATGTAGATAATTTCCTGACAATTTTATTACAACACTCGAAATTCGAATCGCGCATTTAAATTTCGATTGTATCAGAAAAATAAACATCGAAAGCATTAAAGTTATTGTTTTCTGTTAAATAACCGTTGTAATGCTCGTGAATTCTTAAATGATTTAATTTATATTTTTTCATGAAAAATCTTGATCTTAATTTTGACCACTTGAAAATAATGAAAGTTGTTAATTTTTTTAAACATTTTCAGGCATTCCCATTGGACAGAAATATCACTGATATGGAATTAAACGCTTTAACTAGACACATAAATTTTCTTATATGTTAAATTTACTTTTCTTATGTGTTACTTTCATACTTTATTGTAACGCCTTACTATTTTTGGAGCATTTACTTTTCTTATGCACTACTTTCGCGTGTAACTTTTTTTATGCGTTACTTTTACACATTGTTCTACTTTGTCCACTCCATACTTTAATGCACTTTCTTTTACCTTTAATTTCACTCGTTTATTGTTCATGCGTTACTTATTGCCCGTTTATTTTTATTACGCATTAGTTCCTCGGTAATTTTTCTTATACCTTACTTTCCCTTTTAAGAGTTGCTCGATTCTTCACTCCATACTTAACTCTTTCCTTCATATTTACTCGTTACTCTTCTCTATGCATTCCTTTTCATTTAGTGTCTACTGCACCCTATTTTAACGCGTGTTAGTCCCGCAGTAGACTTGATCGTAAAGACACGATTCTCTGCAAAATACGGAAGTTAAGCATCACTGGCTGCCGTCAGCAAGCGGGTGGGTGACCACTTTGATCACCCTGCTTAGGGAGTGCGGTATCAGAATTTGTCTACCTTAAAGTGCTCGACTTCGCATGCAGGTCACCTGGATACCAAAGCTAAGGATCAGATGTAAAATGAAAGTTATACAATAGGTTGTTGTTAATTTACGTCGCACTAGAGCTGCACAATGGGCTATTGGCGACGGTCTGGGAAACATCCCGGAGGATGATCCGAAGACAAGCCATCACAATTTTGATCCTCTGCGGAGGGGATNCGTTTATTGTTCATGCTTTACTTATTGCCCGTTTATTTTTATTACGCATTAGTTGCTCGGTAACTTTTCTTATACCTTACTTTCACTTTTAAGAGTTGCTCGATTCTTCACTCCATACTTAACTCTTTCCCTTTTATTTTACTCGTTACTCTTCTCTATGCACCCTATTTTAACGAGTGTTAGTCCCGCAGTAGACTTGATCGTAAAGACACGATTCTCTGCAAAATACCGATAAGCATCACTGGCTGCTGTCAGCAAGCGGGTGGGTGACCACTTGCTTAGGGAGTGCGGTATCAGAATTTTTCTACCTTAAAGTGTTCGCATGCAGGTCACCTGGATACCAAAGCTAAGGATCATATGTAAAATGAAAGTAATACAATGGGAAGTAAACGTGTAAGGCGTAGAAATAAAGCGCAAAACTGACATATGTTTAAAAAGTGGAAGTAACGTGTAAGAAAAGTAATGCGACATATAAAACATGGAAGAATTTGAGTTATGCATAAGATGAGTAACGCGTAAAATTTAATAACGTGTAAAAAGAAAGTTGTGCATAGCATCTTTATGCGTAAGAAAAATAAACGCGTAAATGCAACGTATAAAAAGTTAGCTCGTAAAAATAATACATAAAAAAACTGCAATGATGTAGACACTTAAAATTAACACATAAGTAAAGTTACAACAGAAAACCCTTAAATGTGACGCATGAAGAAAATTAAAGTGAATAATACCATAAGAAGTAAAAATTGAAAAAACGCATAAAATCAAAAAGAATATGAAAAACATTAAGTAAGGCATTGAATATAATACTGTGCAAAATTTGAAATAACGCATAAGACAAAAACACGTTCAAGTCATGCATAGGAAAAGTAATAATAATCCATAAAATGTAAACGCGTAAACACCAAACATAAAAAATGTAACACACAAAACCTAATGTTAAAAACTCATATGAGAATTAAATTCGTAAAAGAATGCACAAAGAAAGTAATGCGCAAAATATAATAACGCATGAAATTAAAAGCAACTTGCAAGACAAGGAAGCGCGTAAGAGTAGGTCAATCAAACATAAAAAGTGAAGCACACGAGGAAAAAAAGAATAGTTCTTAAGAAAAGTAAACACGTAATGGTAATGCATAATAAAAACAGGCGTAAATATATCGCATAGGTTAAGAAACGTATGATAAAAGTAATAACGTATAAAGAAAATAAACGTGCATAAGTTTGTATGAAGAAAGCAACTCATAAATAATAGCGAATATTGCTAGAAAAATTGCATACAATATATATAACTTGCAAAAGTAGCGTATATATTAAGTGTGTCATTGAGAAAGGAAAAGTATAAACAGAATAAATTAAGTTTTCAAAAAGCAAACTAATGTTAATCAAAAAGCAAATTAACGAGCAAAAGAAATAATACCTAGTCGCAATTTCTCGCACTTTATTTATTTTTGCGCGTCGATATGTTATCTGTTACTTTTTCTTAAGCGATACTTATCTCATGCGTTACGTTTAAGTGTTATATTTTCCGAATTTATACTTCTTATAAATTACTTCTTTTTCTTATGCACAATTTAACGCATTACTTTTTCTTCACGAGTTTGTTTTTTCAAATTTACTAATGTCTTGGATTTTATTAAAATTTTATTGTAAGTTCTATTATTCGTTTATTAATTTATGCCTTACTTTTCTCGTACGAGTCTACTCATCTTAGGCGTTACTTTTCAGTTCTTACTTTTGTTATGCTTCACTTTGACTTTTTTTTAAGTGACAGTTATATTTTTCGCCGTACTTTTTTGTGCGTTAGTCGGGTGTAAATTAAAGCATGAAAATATGAGTCATATTTTACTTTTCTCTATGCTTTACATTTACACGATTACTTTTATTGGTGTTAATTATCAATATGCAACAATTTAATTAAATGACATTTTTTACATTAAAAGCTTGACTTCACGCGTTAATTATTGAGATGCTTTTTTATTNTTCTTAAGCGATACTTATCTCATGCGTTACGTTTAAGTGTTATATTTTCCGAATTTATACTTCTTATAAATTACTTCTTTTTCTTATGCACAATTTAACGCGTTTGATTTTCTTAAGCGTTACTTTTTCTTCACGAGTTTGTTTCTTCAAATTTACTATTGTCTTGGATTTTATTGTAAGTTCTATTATTCGTTTATGCCTTACTCATCTTAGGCGTTACTTTTCAGTTCTTACTTTTGTTATGCTTCACTTTGACTTGTTTTCTTTAAGTGACAGTTATATTTCTCGCCGTACTTTTTTGTGCGTTAGTCGGGTGTAAATTAAAGCATGAAAATATGAGTAACTTATTTTACGAGATATATTTTACTTTTCTCTATCCTTTACATTTACACGATTACTTTTATTGGTGTTAATTATCAATATGCAACAATTTAATTAAATGACATTTTTTACATTAAAAGCTTGACTTCACGCGTTAATTATTGAGATGCTTTTTTATTTTACTCGATTTCTTCTCTTTACAAAAATAACTTCTATAAAACTATAGACAAAATATGGCTTTAATATACGTTTGTTCTTTTATGCATTGCTTTTAAGCTTTATTCTTTATAACGTTTCTTTTACTTGTTACACGCATTGCATGTTCTTATTTTACCAGTACTTTTACACGATGCTCTACTAAATTTTTAACTCCATATTTTAATGCTTGCCATTACTTTTACTAGTTTGTTTTTCTCACGCGTTACTTTACTTCTTTGTGTGTTAAGGCTAATTATGCCACAAGGCATAAATATACAGTAACGTATAAAATTAAAGAGAAAATGAAACTCATTAGGTAAGGCATGAAATATAATATTGTGCGAAATTAAAGGTAACGAGTAAGAAAAAAAACATGCTTAAGCAACGCATAGGTAAAGTAAAAATAACCCGTAAAATGCAACCGAGTGAAAACGAAACAGAAAGAAATGTAACTCACAAAACGTAATGTTAAAAACGCATTAGAAGATTAAGCTCGTAAAAGTATGCATAAAGAAGAGTAATGCGTAAAATATAATAACGCATGAAAATAAAAGCAACGAGTAAGACAAGAAAGCGCTTAAAAATAACGAATAAATCAATCAAACATTAAAAGTAAGGCACACGAAAAAAAAAAGAATAGTTTTTGAGAAACGTAAACACGTAAAGGTAATGCATAATAAAACACGCGTAAATATATTGCATAGGATAAGTAAAAGTAACGCATGAGAAAAGTAAAAGGAGAAAAATTAAAAGTAACGTATAAAGAAATTAAACGTGCGGAAATATTGCATGAGGAAAGCAACTCGTAGA